CCCCTACTTGCTCTGTCTCTGTCTCTCTCAAAATAAATAAACTTAAAAAAAATGGATTGAGGGGCTCCTGGGTGGCTCATCAGTTAAGCATCCAACTTCGGCCCTGATCATGATCTCACGGTCCATGAGTTCGAGCCCCACGTCGGGCTCTGTGCTGACAGCTCAGAGCCTGGAGCCTGTTTGGGATCCTGTGTCTCCCTCTCTCTCTGCCCTCCACCACTCACACTCTGTTTCTGTCTCTCTCAAAAATAAACGTTAAAAAAATTTTTTTTAATGGATTTACGGATAGATTGATAGTAGATATGTGATAAAATACAGGAAAATGTAAACAATATATGGGTGTTCACTCTGCAATTCTTTCAACTTTGCTGAAATTTTCATAATAAAATCAATAAAGCTTCATGATAAAGTGTTGGGAGGAATTTAAATGTAAGCATACTAAGTATTTTAAAGTGTACTTTTTTCCTCGAATCTCTCACTTCTCTGTTAAATAGAGCCAAGGAGCAATAACAGAACGTTTACGAAGTTTTAGTATGCACGATCTTACAGCTATCCAAGGGGATGAGCCTGTGGGACAAAGATCATACCAATCTCTACAAGAAGCAAAAAAGAAAAGTAAATCAGTCTCTGGTGAATCAGCAGGTGTGTTTGTTTGTTTTAATATATTTTCCTTTCACGATTAGAATTTTGAGTCCAGGTAGGTACTAAAATAATACATGGTAACTATCTGAATTTGAGCAGAGGGAAATTTACTTTTAAGCTTATGTTGCAAATTTAGGCTTAACTGTAGTTCTCGTTCTCTAAATTTTCTCTGAATAAAGTTGGTGCTTGCCTTTTGTTGACTCCAGAGATAATCCAACTAAGAAAGTAACAGTAGCCTCTTGTGTTGCCATGAATTTTTAGAAACCTTGGGTGTGATTATTACCACCTCCCTGCCACCAGCACCAGTTCTGACTTGTGATCAGTGCTCTTTCTACTCAAGTCATGTGGTGACATCTGAGTGTTATAGTTAAACACTCTTTGCTGTAAATGCTATGAACAAATAAGGATATTGACTCACAAGATAAAAAGTTTTAAGTGGGTGACAAAGGGTGACTCAGTTTGTAAATAGGATTACTACAATGGAAAATATGTTGAAATTCCATAGTCTAGTTCAAGAACTAACTTGTAGGTATTTCTAATATAAATTATGAGCATGGCATAGTTGATATGTTCTAAAACTTTGATAAAGCATTCTGCTCTTAGAAATATACACATAAATAAAAAGACATACCTCCTTAGTTATTTTGTCACATATAAGAAAATTGTAGTTCAAGGCTCAGATGAAAATTAAGATCATTATGACATTTCTTATTAATTATTATTAACTCCTTAAGGTACAAGGCTTTTTGGTGTGTGTGTGTGTGTGTGTGTGTGTGTGTGTGTGTGTGTGTGTGTGTTTAGGTAGTTTTCTTTTGAGGGAGGTTAAAAATCACCCTTTACATTGAAACCAATTTGAGAAATAAAACAACGGTCCCTTCTTACAGACAAAAAATAGTGAACTTTTTCTGAGTTCTCCGTAGAATGAATAACTTTACCAAGTTGGTGGCTGTTACCTAAAAGGTAGTAATTAAGCATTAGCCATTGATTGAGGTAGTAATATTTTTAAGAATGAGAACCAGTTGGGGCGCCTGGGTGGCGCAGTCGGTTAAGTGTCCGACTTCAGCCAGGTCACGATCTCGCGGTCCGTGAGTTCGAGCCCCGCGTCGGGCTCTGGGCTGATGGCTCAGAGCCTGGAGCCTGTTTCCGATTCTGTGTCTCCCTCTCTCTCTGCCCCTCCCCCGTTCATGCTCTGTCTCTCTCTGTCCCAAAAATAAATAAACGTTGAAAAAAAAAAAAATTTAAAAAGAATGAGAACCAGTGAACTTTGAACCATCATCCTTAATACATTAACAGTGAGTTTATAATATAGGCATTTTCTTAATATACATTTAAAAATTAGATATACTGATTTTGATTATGGAGTCTGCTGTATATATTTTGCTTGATTTGGAACAGTTATCTGACAACTTTATCAGCAGTTTATTCATAATTATACTTTAGAATTGATTAAGAGTGATATTCTAATAGTTAAATGAAAACAAGATTACAAATATGAAAATGCGTAGCTGTTTTTGTGATATTCATCTATTAAACTTAAAATAATGGGGCTAAAATATTTTAAGGTAGTAAGATGCTATTTAGGTCTTCTGTTAGATTTTAAGCCATGAAATTAAAACAACAAGATTAGAGAAATATGAAGTAAATAGTAGCAGTACAAGAAAGGAACTTATTCAGTTATTAAATTAAAATTTTAATATGCATTACTTTGCACAAGTTCTAAGTTTCCTACAGAATGGTACATACTTTGAGCCCTCTTCCCTAAGGAAAAAATTTAACAAAAACAATCTGTCTTAAAAATATTTTTTTAGGGGGCGCCTGGGTGGTTCAGTTGGTTAAGTGTCTGACTTCGGCTCAGGTCATGATCTCACGGTTCATAGGTTCAAGCCCCGCATCAGGCTCTGTGCTGACAGCTCCAAGCCTGGAGCCTGCTTTGGATTCTGTATCTCCCTCTCTCTCTGCACCTCCCCTGCTGATGCCCTGTCTCTCTCTCTCTCCCTCTGTCTCTCTCTCTATCAAAAATAAACATTAAAAAAATAATATTTTTTTAGGGGCTTCTGGGTGGCTCAGTCGATTAAGCATCTGACTTCAGTTCAGGTCATGATCTCACAGCTTGTGAGAGTTTGAGCCCCATATCGGACTCTGTGCTGACAGCTCAGAGCCTGAAGCCTGCTTCAGATTCTGTCTCTGTCTCTCTCTGCCCCTCCCCGCTCATGCTCTGTCTATCTCTCTCAAAAATCAATGAACAAACGGGGCGCCTGGGTGGCTCAGTTGGTTGAGCACCCAACTTCAGCTCAAGTCATGATCTCAAGTTCGTGGGTTCTAGCCCCGCGTCGGGCTCTGTGCTGAAAGCTCAGAGCCTGGAGCCTGCTTCAGATTCTGTGTCTCCCTCTCTCTCTGCGCCTCACCTGCTCATGCTCTGTCTCTCTCTGTCTCAAAAATAAGTAAAAACATTAAAAAAAAATCAATGAACATAAAAAAAATTTCTTTTTTAAAAAGTGATAACGTTCCAGGACAGGAAGAGTTGAAGAGAAGATAATAATAGTCTATATAAACATAAGTCCAAGATATACATGGAAATTCATCAGATGAGAATGATGGCCTTTCAGGCAGGTGGGGGAGGTGTTAGGATAATTGCTAGACTTAGAAGATGGGGTAGAAGATGAAGTTATTCCTCTATCTCAAACCTTTCATCAAAATACTTAAAAGATTAAGACTTAAATATAAGATACTAAGCTATAATATAGTAGGAAATTCCTGAGTATATATTTAAACCAGAATTCTTAAGCATGACATCAAAACTAGAAGACATAAGGGAAAAACTTGAGAGGTTTTTCTATATGAAAAATATATATATAACATATAAGGGAAAAATACCATACAAAACAAACTAGAAGAAATATTCTCATGTGATACAGGCAAAGGGTTCAGATTTTAACAATACAAAGATTTCTTTCAAGCCAATTATTGTTAATTCTACTAAAGAATACAGCATGAAAAAGACATTCAGCCTCACACACAAAGAAAGAGTAAATTAAAATAGTAATGACAGTAATTTTTCCTCACCAGATTGGCAAAAATATTTTTTTAATTAGCAGTGCTCTCTGTGTTGGTAATTATTCTAGTTATCTGTTTCTGTGTAACGAACTATAAACAGTGACCTGAAAAAGTCACAGTCATTTTTTTGCTCATGAACCTGGGGGAGACTGGGCTCAGGGAGGGAGATCTTGCTCAAGGTCTTAGGCAGCTACAAACAGCACCTGGGGCTCGAGTCAGAATCTCAAAGTCTTCTTCATTCACATGTGTGCTGTTTCAGCTGTGAAGAGTCAAACAGGTGATGGCTGAAACAGTTGGGGCTTCTCTGGCCTCTCCTTCTCAACGTCTCTCTACATGGTCTCTGAGAGTGTGGGGGGCTTCTTATCTGGCAGCTAAAAGCTCACAGAGAGGGTGTTTCAACCCAAGTGGCAGAAGTCATGCAGCCTCACTTCTGCCTCATGGCAGTTTGTTGAGACTGGTACCTACGAGAGGAGGAGGGGCGCCTGGCTGGCTTAGTTGGTGGAGCGTGCAACTCTTGATCTCAGGGTCGTGAGCTCGAGCCCTGCATTGGGCAGAGAGATTACCTTAAAAAGAAAAAAGGAAAAAAGATTTAATAGAAGAGGAGAAAAGTGTCAGAATTTGTGGACATGTTTGAAAATCACCACAGCAAGCATGTTGGGAAACAAACACTCTCATACACTTTGTATGAGAGTTTAAAGTGGAATAATCCTTTTGATGACAATCTGGCAATAATTATCAAAATGTATTCCCTCTAACTCAGCAAGAAACTTCTAAGACTATGTCATAAAGAAATAATCAGACAAGTGTTCAAAGATGTAGGTACAAGAACAATCATCTCATTGTTTATAGTAACATAATATTGGAACAAACTAAACGCCTAAAAGAAATGCTTAAGCAAAAGCATGGTTTATTAGCCACGAAAATTGATAATGTCGTTCTCTACGTACTGACATAAAAACATATCCAGATTGTGGGGAAATAAACAATAATAAAACAATCTGTGTGTTATAATCCAGCACTGTAGAGACACAATAAATAGATGAAATGAATTAATATATGTAAGTTATTTTTCAAATGTGTATACATAGGGAAGAGTCTGGAAGGGTATTGCTAAAATGTTAACAGTGTTCAGTTCGAGTATGGGACTTCAGTGATCTTTTTTTTTTTTTTAAATCAACCTATTTCCTAAATCAGAAAGAACAGTACTCTTTCTTTTGAAAAACAACTCAGGTACTCAATTTTTAGGTCATGAATTATTTTTTATTTCATTTACTTCCAAAATTCCTCAAGAAAAAAATAAGTTTTTCAGTGTGGTAGTCACATTCACATTGCAAAGTCTTTTTACTTGTTCATGTGATTAATACATTTACCCCAGATGATCTGCTTGTTCACACAAGCAAACTCAAATTATTTGGAAAAGTGGGTCCATTTTGAAAACTCTTCATGGCCTGCTCTGACTGGTTTGAGGTTGGCTGGTCAAGAAAAATTCTGCTTTGATGAAGCTATTCAAATCTTCATGTTGTCACCATGGCAAAAAGAGCTCCCTCCAGATGCATTTCTGTAAGAAAATGGACTCCTTGAACATGATGTTCACATCCCTTGAAAGAACACCACGTTGTGATAAGTGGGAATGTTTTTTCTGCAAAGAAACTGCTTCTCCCATATTAGTTAAAATTGGCTCAATATTCAGTTTTAGTACCAGCGCATAAAGAAATAAAGCACATATTCTTTGTTTTAGGTGCTTTACATATTTACTTAATCCCTAAGATGACTATACAGGTTAAATATTTTATACTTATTTTTCAGATGATGAAACTGAGACATAAGGAGATTAAATTACCTGTCAAGATAGCCCTTGACATAGTCAATGACATAAATGAGGTATCCAAGGTTCCTAAGCTAATTCTTATTCTTTCTCTTTTTAATTTATAAAAAGGCTACACTTAGGGAGACAGTTGGGGCTGGAACTCTGAATTCAAATAATTTGAGTAGGTAGCGACCTTAGAGATGCTTTAGTCAAAGATGGCAGATGGGTGACATGCCTGCTCCCTGCTCCCGTGCCCATGGTGGCAGACATTGCTGAAGGACTGTGGCACTTTACGACACTAGTTCACAGTCCCCCTCAACATAATGCTCCCAACAGCTCAACGGGGTCAGAGTTCACATTCACATGGAAACTTATCCATCATCTTTCATCTGTCTCACTACCTTACCATTGAAGAAAACAAAGGCCTGGTGAGCCTTGGTAGCTCAGTTAGTTAAACGTCCAACTTCGGCTCACGTCATGGTTTCATGGCTTGTGCGTTCAAGCCCCACATCAGGCTCTGTGCTGGCAACACGGAACCTGCTCTGGAGTCTCTCTCTCCCTCTGTCTTTGCCCCTCCCCTTCTTGCTCTCTCTCTCTCTCTCTCTCTCTCTCTCTCCCCCTCTATCTTTCTCAAAAAATAAAAAATAACATTTAAAAAAGAAAAGAAAGGCCTGGAGAGAGGCAAGATGTACTTTGGCTCTCACAGCTAATAGGCAGTGAAGTCCTCTAAGAGGTCCAGGGTGCCTTCCAGGTCAAACTTTCTGTGATTCTACACCTATATTAATATAAGATGGGAAAACTTAAAATATACCAACTGTAACATGTGTGAGCTGTGAATACCAGGTCAGTTTGCAAAAGCATCTGCTGGTTTCCTAAAATGGTAACAGAGCTTTGGGCTGAAGCTGGCCAGACATCTACAGGGCCCCGGGCAATACAGGCTCCTCAGCCTTGGGTCCCCAGTCACTGCTCCTCAGGAATGTGTGTGGAACGACTCCGTCCAGTGTAGATCACTAATGTAAACTTAGCATCACCTTTGTATGGCCCCGCAGTACCCCACTAGTTTCGCTTTCCCTGGGCTTGGCAGACCTGTAAACCACTCAGCCATCTCACTAGGTGCCTGCTGTGATAGGACACCCAGATTTGGGCTTCCCTCATAGTCTCAGGTCTCCCTCCTACTCTGAACACTTTTAAATCCTTGGACAACTTTGATTAACACTATTTCCAGCACTCACAGCAGAATGTTCATACATACTCGTTTCCAGGTTTTAAGTGGAATAGAAAAATGCATATTTTAGCGAAGATATTTGACTTGACTCCTCGCTCTTTGACGCATAGTTTGGTTTAATCAATTGCTAAGTTAAACTTGTCAATTTCATCTCCTTGTGGATCCCAAATCTGGCTCCTGTCTCTGTCTTTGCTCCTTGGACCCCATCATCTCTGACCTGCCATACTGCAATAACCTCCCTGTGTCCTGTGTCATCCACTTCATTCCCCAAAGTGCAAAAGGAATCTCTGAAAGAACCCAAGTGTAATCATATCACCTTTCCGCTTAAAATGCCTCAGTGGCCCCCCACGTTGCTCTCTGGTGAAGTCCAAACTCAGTAGCATGTGGTGTATTCGCTCCCCTGCCTTGTTCTCCCACTCCATCATGTGCTGGCTGTATTGAATCATGAGCCTTCCAGAAGTTAGCCACCACCTCCTACAAGAAGTCCTCTCTCACAGCCCACTTTCCCCCACCCCCAGGCTGAGTTAATTATCTTACTGTAGGCTCCCATAGCACCCACCCCATCCTTATCTTCAATTTACAGCATCTATTATAGTGCTGTCATGCCTGTTAAAGTCTGTTCCCTTCCCTTGTTGGACTAAGTTTCTTAGAGTAAAAGATGACAGTTGTGTCTTTTTCATCACTGTATCCCCATAATATAGCGCACTGCCAAACACAGAATTTTTTGAATATTGTGAAATAATGAATCAATCCATTAACTTTCTCTGAAACCATAATTAGAAAGCTAATAAGATTTGTTACCTGAAATTGGGAAACAAAGAAAGAATAAGGTGTGTATATAATCATCTTTTGAATAAGGTTCCAATCCCATCCCATCAGAAGCATCTTCTCAGGACCACTGACCGTTCCCCTCCCCTGGCCACACTGGCCTGCTTGCAGCTCTTCTAGGCGTCGTGTGCCCCCTGCCCTCGCTCCCAGCAAGTGCTCTCTGTTCTACCTGGAACACAATTCCTTGGACTGACGGGGGAGGAGTGGGGGGACAATGGATCTTGGCCTAAATCATGACCGATTCTATCCCCAAATCCTCCCTAATTTTTAGCCTAGTAGTCTGGCAGCATAAAATTGTGCTTGCATAATTTACATCTAAAGGTATGTCTCTTATTATGAGACAAAAAAGCTTATTAACAACTCTTCATGGTTTGCTCAGTGAGTCTCAAGTTACTCATGGCCTGGGAGAGCGGATTAATAAACGTTTGTTCAGTATCTTTTTCTTCACATGCAAGAAGTCCATCCACTGCCCCCACCTGAGCCTGGAAAAACTACTTTTTTCTCACCTGAAGATGTAGGTATTTATGCTCCTTATCTTTATTAAAGGAGAATTTGAAACTTAATGGGGCCTTGTAACCTCACCCTTGTCTTGATAACTTGCCTAGCACTCTTCTTGCCACAGACTTGGGCCCCTCTCTTGCTCCATCCAGGCAATGGTTCTCAAATGTTTCGAGCCCTGGACCCTAGGATAAGCATCACCTAGGAATTTGATAGAAATATAGATTCTCAGCCCCACCCTAGGCCTAGCAGTCTTTGTATTAGTAAGTTCTGACTCTTAGTATGTGCCTTTACTAATAAACTCTACTAAGCTTGATAACCACTGTTTCAGGAATGGGAGTGTTCCTGTCTCTGAATCTTGGGCATCAGGATGCTGTCAGACTTCCTGACAATAACCAGCCTGACTACCTGCAAGTTTGCATATTGGCCAATGACCCGTCTTTTGTCGCAACACACAGCGGCCTGTTAGCACACCCGCAGGACCTCTTGCTGACCTTCCTGATGCGGCTGTTTTCTTTGACTAACATCTGTCATCGTAGCCTGTGGTGTTTGTAATTGCTGAGGCCTGCCTGGCTGGCTTTCATCTCAGCAGCTGCAACAGTGTTGCTTTAACATCTCCATGGCCTGCCCCCCCCCCCCCACCAACCTCTCTCAAAGTTCTAGCCCCTTTGGGTCTTATCTAAGTAAGTTCACCCTCCCTTTCCCAATCTTGACAAAAGTTTTGACACACAGTGGGAGGAAACCCTTAATTTCTAACTAAAGTCAAAGGCACGAATGACTAAATGAAACACAAAATTGCTTAGATTGTTTAGAGTTCAGGAAAAGGAGAAAGGGCAGGGAGGAGATCTGCTTATGTTCTCTGAGTTTTGGACAAAGTGTTACCTCCTCAAAAATCAATTATTTAAAATCATTCTGAAAAATGCATGGTGAAAATAGGAATAGTCAGGGGAAGAAGTGAGTTATGAGCCTCATCTAGAATAGTGCACGGGGCAATGATTGATGATAAAGGGCGGGGAGCACATTCCAGAGGAGAAAGGGAGAGGAAGGATTAAGCAGGCAAATGCAGACCATGCATCGAAGTGTGCTCAGATGGAGCGGTGTCCTTTCCCCGAAACATGCTGGTTTTGACCTGTTTAGGTTATGGAATTCCGCTGAAAGACGGAGATGAGAAAACCGATGAAGAAGCCGAAGGGCCGTATTCAGATGATGAGATGTTAACGCACAAAGGGCTTCGAAGATCGCAAAGCATGAAATCCGTGAAAACCGTGAAAGGCCGCAAAGAGGTTAGTCCTGTACAGAGTTGTTTTCCTAATGATTGGTGTTGAAGGCATTATCATCCAGGATATTAGCGATCCATAAAGGAAGGAACCCAGTGGTAGATCAGCAGTTACATTTAAAATTCTTTCTTCAGGAAGAACCTGGGTGGCTCAGTCAGTTAAGCACCTAACTCTTGGTTTCAGCTCAGGTCATGAGCTCACAGTTTGTGAGTTCAAGCCCCACGTCAGGCTCTGCTCTGGCAGTGTGGAGCCTGCTTGGGATTCTCTCTCTCTCTCCCTCTGCCCCTCCCCCTGCTTGCTCTATCTCTCCCTCAAAGTAAATAAATAAACTTAAAAAAAAATTATTTATTCAAGGGGTGCCTGGGTCGCTCAGTCAGTTGAGCATCAGACTCTTGATTTTGGCTCAGGTCATGATCTCACCGTTGGGTAGTTTAAGCCCCGCCTCGGGCTCTGCGCTGACAGTGCAGAGCCTGCTTGGAGTCTCTGTCTCCCTGTCTCTCTGCCCCTCCCCTGCCCCTGCTCTCTCTCTCTCTCTCAACATAAATAAATAAAAAAACATTTAAAAAAATTTTTTTAATTAAAAAAATTCTTTATTCAGATCGGATATATTAGGATCTCTGGAAGTTTGCAAAATGATAAATTCCTAGTCTTCCCCTGTAAGCAGAAGATGGTATTCTTATATAGCAAATCATATGGTTGTCATGAGCACCCAGTGCCAGCCCTACGCCTAAGCAAAGAAAGCAACTGACAAAAATAACTACATAGTTTTCTTTGAACCAACCCTGTATGAGGACTAACTAGAAGTTTATCTATAATAATATACTGTCTTTGTGTCTGGAAAGGAGGATTCCAGTGAATGGTCAGATCATTGTGAGCAATGTTCATTGACCTACCAGGCGAAGCACAAATAAGAACAGTTAATGTTTTTATAATGTTACATAAGTAGCCATGTCTTTTGAATACACACTTATAGGATAATTGATTCTTTATATTAGAAAAGCTTTAAAAAATATTACTATGATCATGAGCTATTAAGTTCTAAGTTGAAAAGTAATCATCTAATTTGTAATAATGACACATTTCTCTCTTCAGGTGCGATATGGGTCACTAAAATATAAAGTGAAGAAGAGACCACAGGTGTATTTTTAGTCATCTGCACCTCAAGATCCCAAGACAAGTTATGCTAATCCATCAGCTTTTCTTCTAACATTATCCAGGATTTACACGTTAAAATAATACTTTAAACTGTGGCGGTAATAGGGTTTATTTTCATCAATCTAAGTAGCTTTTATTTCTTTAACCATTACTTCCATGTCCTGACTACTCCAGGTAATTATGCAAAGCTTATATATATATATGTATATCTACATATGTATACATATATAAATATGTACATATGTATATACATATGTATACATTTATAGATATACATATATATCTCAGAAATAGTAGAAAATTGTGTTATCTGTTTTCAAATTCCTCAACAACATTGAGTGCCTGGGACATTAAGATGAAACACAAACCCACAGTATACTTGAAAAGAGTCTTTTTACAGTTTAAGATACATCAGCCTTTGTGGTATTGTATTGTGTTTACCTCCGTTTATGTTATATCTATCACATGAGGATAGTAATTAGATAGGCCTCTGATCAGCAGTGATAGGACAAGGGCATAATGTAAGATATAGTGTGTTTTATATATTCTTCAAATTTTTACTTTTAACATACTTGTCGGTTTTTCCACCATCAGCTGAACGTTTTCGAAACAAATATTTGAAAGCCAGGTCTCCACATAGCACTTTTATTCCTGACTAGTTTTGCACACTTGAAAATTGTTTACTTATTTACGACTGTACATTTATTTTAAGCTTTACTGACACTTTATTGTTATTTGTCATATCCTGACATGTCACATTTATGCCTCGAATTTCATCATCTCTTTTCCTGTGGGTTTCATTTGTTAAATTTGTTAGGTTCTAATAATATGAAAATATACCTAATTGTCCAACTTTAACTATTTTTAATTCTCTCCTCTATAGATAAGAAGCTGTTTTAGACATCAACTAGTTTTCCATATTTAACCCTACATTGGTAGTCAAATTTAGCATGTTTTTGTTAACACTGGTGACATTTTCAGCATTTAGAAGCAGTAGCTTTAAAAAAAAAAAGTAGTAGCTTTTGTGAAACAGAGTCACGAAATTATCCAGCAGTCAGTCCATTCACAAGGCTGACCTCCTATGTGCTGCTGACTTATAAATCTGTATTGACTACATTTGAATCACTCATCTTTCTGGCTGAGATCATTTCCTGAATATAGGTGCCAATGCAAAATACAGATGTTAATCTTACATACTAGAAACTATTAGAATAGATATTAGAAAAATATATTTTAATCCAAGAGATTGTGAGTTACTAAATGTGGAGGCTTTTTTAGGTTGCATTGATAACTATGCATTAACTCTGTTAATGGTGGTGGTTTTAGTGATCACTCATCAAATTGGTACAGTTGTAACCATTCAGATAATTTACTTGACTGTTCTGTTTGTCCAAAAGAGAAAACAATGAGTGAGATTTGTGAGATCTTTGACCTTTCTACCTTTTAAGAAGTGAAACCAGCTGGCAATGTATATTCAGGACCTCCTCGGATTGTTGGCAGAGGATAGAATGTTTACTTAGGACTACCTTAGTTTAATTCATACATTTCTCTTGATACATTCTCTTAAAACATTATCTAGACTCTCTCACATTCTTCATATATGACACCAAGAAAAAATTCCCTCAACTTTGTTTCTCTGAAAGTTTAATTCTATGAGTGTCTTCATTACTTTACCGTGACTAATTTTTAGCCTTTTAGTTTTCTAAAAAGACTCATTTGTGTTCAAAATTCCTAGAAATCCTGATTATAAACTCTTGGAAGAGAGTTTTTATTTACATTGCCTAGTCCTAGACTTACCAATGTAAATGCTACACCATGTTTCTCTTTCCTACCCAAAGGCAGCGTCATCTCGAGTTGCCTGACAAAGTCATGTAAGTGACTTTATATAAAAACATTACCTCTGGGGGCTGCTCTGTGCCACTTTATGTTTCCTAAGACTAAAGTATTAAACCTATTCTGTAATTATAGTAATCTCATAAATACTGCTCTAAATCGGAGGGATTGTTTATCCCTTTACACTCCTACAAACAAAGACCAGTCGCAAAGAGGTAATGAATGTCCTTTTTAAATCTCTCTCTCCACACAGTGTTCCCTCTGATCTCTTTCTCCTGTTACATCCTTACAGGCAGTGGATGTCATTTTGCTGTTCTATTACTTCCTTTCTCTCCTTTTCTTACATTTCTGAGATTTTGCTGCTTTTCTCTCGTGTGTGTTTTAGCATGCCCTTTCCTTTGAACTTTGTATGATAAGCCCACAAATCTTAGCCTCTTTTAAAGTGGAGCAGGCCATTTTTTGTTTCTCTGCTTTTGAATCCACTGCTTTTAAAAGAAGGAACTTTATCTCTAGACCACAGTGCCTTGCTTTCCCACCACCACCATTTGGTGAATGGGCATCAGACGCTGCGCAAGCCTATTTAAGGGCGCTATTTTGGTGGCTGTTGAAGTTTATGCAGAAATTGTAGCCGGTGTTTTATTATATATTTCTTCAACTTGTGCACTAATATTAACTATTTCCAGAGGTTTTGGAAGTGACAGTTGATCATTCTTCAGTTTACCATGCTTTTTCTGGGATAAAAAAGAGCCAGAAGTATGTCTTATTGCTAAGTAATTAATTATGTAAACCCACCTAGGTCCTGCACAAGATTCCCTCCACACGATTCACTATTCCATATATGTACGTGGATTTGGCTAGAAAGTGGTAAGTGTCAGCATTTGCTAATTATAAGTACTTGACTATACAGATTGATGGAACAAAATTATTAAAATATGTTCAGGGAACTAATCCATATGTCACCACCAAAGATTTCTACAGTGTTATAAAATATGTAAATACTCCAAATTTCTGTAAAACACTGGTTAGATAAATACATTTTATTTCATGTCTTTTTTTTAAATAACACAGTTTGAGCTTCTGTAATACTTGAACTTTTGTGTTGTTAAAAATAACCCAATGTTACCTTCTATGAAATATTAGTAATTTGTATGTTTAATTGGAATGGACTAAATTTTTATTTTGATTTTCTCGTATTGGGAAGATTAAGGAGTTAATATGTATTGACAAGCAGTTTCCTAAATGTCCCATATAGGCTGATTCATTGACAAAGCAATTTGGTGATTTTGAGGCGATCGTTGTTACTGTGGTAGGCAGTGTATATTTCTTAGTAAACAGCATTTACATTTACTTAAGTTTACTAAGTTTTACTGAGTAAGACTTTGTGAAAGAAAAATATGGCTTTTTCCTCTAAATGCTTAAGATTTCGTCTATTGGTAGTGTCCTACAGATTTATTGTACATTAACTTTTTAAAAATTGACCATGAATTGATCTTTTCACCTCTAACACCTCTTAAATCTGTGTACTTTAATAGTTAAGAGAAAGCAGTTTTATAATTTTTTAAACTCTTTGTAAAGGCTATCTTTAGGCCTAGTCTGGGGGTAATTTTACAGATGTGTTTTTTGAAAACTTTAATATAAAATAAACTCATTTTATTAGTGACAACTTGTATTTGTGTGTGTGTATCAGAATACCTATGTTGGGTTCCATAAGTTTATAATATTTATTATTGAGTATGTATGTAATATTTTGTGTGTGTGTGTATATATATATATAATATATATATATATATTTATGTATGTATATAATAGATGACATATGCACACAGTAAAGATTCCAAATCACAGAACAAATTATAAAAAATCATATACATTCCGGAATGGTCACAGGATTACAAAAGAAACATTGAATTGTTAAATTGGATGTTGGAATGGGAAGATTTTTAAAAAAAGTACAGAAACCCTAGCTATCAATTTGTATTGGTTAGCTGCCTCAGACATAAAATATAACACAATTCAGTTTTATGTATCCTGGAAATGTTCTGAGGTTCCATCTGTTTTAAAGTCAGACATCTGTCTGCCTCACATTTAAGCTTTAGAGAGAAATCCCATGTTTAAAAAAGTTTCTTTGTGTTACTTCATTTTGATATATAATGTGTTAAAGCATTTCCAAATGGAGTTATGTTTTCATCTTTATTAGGACGTACATCCTCGTGGTGATCCAAAGGAGTTAGAAATTTAAATAAAAATTCAAAAGAACACAATGAATATATGAACTGTGGCATTTTTCCCATTTTATTCTCCCTTTAAATGGTTCACTCTTCTTGAGAAAGATTTATGCAATGAAAATCATGTCAGAGATTGATTGATTGTTCCCTGGAAAACATTCCTCCCTTTTACCTACCCATAGATATTCTAACCTTGAAACACTCTCCTCATGGTCTGGTTTTGCTTTTTATAAGATAATGCTTTAAAATGAAATTTTATTATTTATTTATTTATTTTGTGGGTGAGAGAGGGAGGGAGAAAGTGCACCTAGTGGGGAAGAGGCAGAGAGAGGGAGAGGGAGGATCCTAAGCAGGCTCCGTGCTGTCAGCACAGAGCACAATGTGGGGCTCAAACTCAGGAATCCTGAGATCATGACCTGAGCCAAAACCAAGAGTCGGATGCTTAACTGACTGAGCCACCCAGGTGCCCCAATTTGTTTTGTTTTTAATCCTTGATTCCCTTCTTTTCCTTACCTCTTATATCCAGTACATTAGTATTTTGATTCTGTCCAAAATATACAGGCTTACTCGTGGAGAAATTGCCAGTTTGTTTTTAGACCACTGCAGTCAAGCATGTATCACAATAAAGCAAGGCAAAGTAAATGTTTTGGTTTCCCTATGTATATAGAAGTTAGGTTTACATTTTACTGCAGTCCATTAAATGTGCAATAGCATTATGTCTAAAAATACAACGTACATGCTTTATTTTTAAAATATTGTTTTAAAATGCTAATCATTAATCACTCATCGCAGCTCCATAACAAATATAAAAGTGGAAGAGTTTGAAATATTGCAAGAATTACCAAAAGGTGACACAAAAACCCAACAAAGTGAGCAAATGAGGTTGGAAAAATGGTGCTAATAGACTTGCTCAATGCAGGGTTACCACCACCTTTAATTTGTAAAAAAATGTAACATATATGCAGTTCAG